ATAAGGTTGAGAAATAACAAAAAAAAATTATGGGAAAATTAAAACCCATTTTGTCCCCATTCTCAAGAATCACTGACTGTATTTCTGAAGACAGTTTCGGTGAGGCAAATACAGCTTGAGAAGTGTTATTGTTCTCAGAGACAGCGGCTGCTTGGCAGTGGATGTCCTGGTTCTGAGAGATCTAATCGAAGCCCAGGAAGACGAGGAGCATCGAGTTTGCAAACGGCTGAGTGTTTGGAGATAATAAGCTCCTGCTGTTCTCTTCTTTTATCTTCAAAACAGGGTCAAAATTCAAAGCAGTTGCCCCATTACTGCGTAGTACATCAGCCTTTCTCTAATGGGCGTGCGTCTGAACTTTGTCCCACTGTGGTGTCAAACAGCTGACCTGAAGTTTTCCCACATCCAGCAGGAAAAAACAAAGCGAGGCTACACAGCTGCAGCTCGTGACCTTTTTCCTACCGGTTTTTCTGCCTTTTTGCTGATAATAGATGCTGCGCATTTCCACCTTAGCAACGTCTCATATCGCTACGCAATGAAATAGCGAGTTATCTGTTATGTAAACAACTATTCTCTCCTTTGTCACTTGCTAGAAGTTTGTGACAATGTGGGTTTGATGCTATAATTTTATGAACAGGATTGACACAAAAAACAACATAAAGACGAATCAAATCTTCAGCAGGAAAACATTGAATGAGCTAATTACTCCCAATGTGAGATGCCTGCAATTAGATAGGTAATATTAGAAGATAAAAAGAAAAACAGTACAATGGAAATTTTAATTAACAAAACATGAGACTGTTTGTACAGGAACGGCCCGTATCATAAGACCTGACCTCATACTCTGGGAGTGTGGCATACCAGAGTCCAGCACCGGATTTCCAGAGGGACGCAGTGAAATGGCGTCTCCAAGTTCAATGTCTCTACATGACTTTAAAGGGACAGTGTTATGTAAAATTGACTTTTTTGAACTTTACTTCATATTATAATGTTATTCCCGTCATAACAGCTATACCTGGAGAGTTGCCTTGATTCTTTCACGCATGTATTTAATCTCCATGGCAACCGTTCAGCTGTACAAAACGCCTGGGTGGACCTAGCCCCGCCTTGGAGCTGTGGTGTCAGCTCCTTCAAACTAGTGGCAGCAATTAGCAAACACCTGGTGGATCTGCACATCTGCTGAGCTCATTATGCCGTTGATAAAAACGTTGTCAAAGGCTCTTGTGATGTGTTCCTGAAGGTGAAAGAGATAGAGGCCCAATTTCAATTTCAATTTGATATACACGGCATTATTCTAGCAACTGAAGGTAATGTAGTTACTTGATTTTGCTATAAAATGGCTCCTTGTGGCTGGAAAGTAGATAATACTGCCACTGTAAATGAACAACATCAAGTCTTTGTATTTGTATTTTTTTTTTTGTTTTTTTTTTTGTTTTGTTTTTTGTTTTGTTTTTGCAGTATTGTAGGTCAAACAGCACCGGCCTGTCCTCTGAACATGTTCTGTACGAGACCATGTGTCTCTGCTGTGGAGGAAAACAGCAGCTGGAAGAGCCATGTGAGAATATGACTGATGGATCTTTGCCCACACAGACCCTGTCTGCTAGGAAAATGCCTCTTGAAGTGTGAAAGCTGTCCATCAAGGGTCTTTTCTTAGAATAGGTGACGGGGCGGTGGGAAATTAGGAACCAGCCGCCTTGGCTGCGAGCGCTGCTGTGAGATAAATATCTGCAACAGAACCTGCAGGTGGTGTTCTCATCGTACGTCTCTCTCTGGACATTATCGGGTCACTGCAGCCTGTTTGTGAAGCCCATGTGTTACACTGTGATGGGAAATTATTTGTTTACAGGATACAGACAGGAAAGACACTCTTCTCCCTGACTGTTCTACACAGTCAAGAAAGGAAGCGCGATGTTTGACACATACTCACTCGTGACCAATAGTAGCACAACAACGCTGGGAGAAGTCGTCTCAAAGTGCACGTTTTGTAGCTTAGCAAGATGTTACATGAACCCACTCTTTAGTAAAAGTGAGGCTGTTGTTGTTACACTTTCAAAAAGCAGAGTACTAGAGTATTATGTGGTATGCGGTACTGTCAGATTAATTGTACTCAGTGACAGTAGCAGTACTTAGAGTTTTACTCAACTAAAAGTAAAACAATACATTACTCAAATAAGAATAAAAAAAGCATTTCTTAAAAATGTCACTCTAGTGCTGAGGAACTCATAAGAAAACCTGATTAAATATTTTAACATTATGTGTAGACAGTCATAAAAATGTAAAGCCATGTGCAAATTCTTGAGTTTATTACATGTTTGTGAGTGTAAGCAACAGAAGAATGAAATTTACTTCCACTAACGATACTGACTATTACTGTATGTTTACTTTACTGGTGGTTTACTTTACTTTAGTGGTTCAGTTGACAGAAAATAACATTAACACAACAAAGCTTGTGCACAAACAAGAAGTCTCACTTTGACATAAACTGTAGGCTTGTCTGCATCTGGTGCACTTTTGGTGACAATGTGCTTCTTCTTCATTTAAAGGAGTTAGTCATTGTTGGTAGAGAAGCCAGAAATTTTACTGAAGTAAAGGTAGTGGTACATTACAAAAATGAGTGCTTAACAGTTTTTTTTTTCTTGTTTTTTTTTTTAGAAAAGCTGTGGATTAAGAATCAAACTCCATTTTTTCCAATGCATCATCAAGCTGGAGGATTTTATTCAATAGAAATGTTCTCAGGAAAAGATAATTTTCATAAACTTCTACTCTGAAGTGACTTAAACAGGAAACTTCACTCTGATTTAATGTCAGACAGTAAAGAGAAAAACTTTTCCAAGCGACCTATTATTGATATTAGTTAGCATATCTAACACCCACACAAGATGAGAACATTGAAATCCTTGTTTTATTTTGTTCTCTTTGTACTTTGAAACATTACAGTTTAAACAAAAAATACATTTAAACACCGGAATAAAACACACAATACGCTCTGTTGAATAAAAGTGGTTGTTTTAATTTCCTCTTCACTCCACAGTGTTTTTACACTGTATATCACTCTATCCACCAAATTAGTTAAAGTTCCTGTCTTATTGTTACAGTCATACATGTCTTTCTGATTACGTTCCCAGTTTTGCGCTGGACTTTGTCACAGTTTGAGTGAAAAACACAGAGAAGAGATTGCTTAAACGTCAGTGGTCCCGCTCCACCGCAACGACATTAGATTTCATGTACTGGTTTTAGATAAGCAGCACACAACACTGAAGGAGGAGAAAAACACAGAGCGAAAAACACCAAAAACCAACACATATTTTCACTTCACACACACACACACACACACTGACGCTCCCTGTTGCTTACTCTCGCACATAAACACACACACACACACACACACACAAGACAGGCGCTCGGTTTTTTATTATCAACAACAACCACACACATAAACACCTGAAACCAACAGACACCAATGTAAGTACCGACAGTACAAAAAAATCCAAAAAATATCTGAGAATATACAAGTATTTACAGCTCAAGTATACACCCTGTCACTCTCACCATAGATACTCAGTGTGAATTTATCAGAATGTACATCAATATGTACAGGTTAAATACATCATCTTAAATACTATAAATATAACTATATTTGGTCACATAAAGACTATTTGCACATTTAAATAGATTTATTGGTACTATGTCTTTGTCAGCTTCTTGTTGATGAACTCCAGAAGTTGCAGCGGACATGTGGACAAGACAAGGAGACCCTGGAGTCTTTGCTTTCGGTCCTATTCATTATCAACCACAGATAACAGCTTTTTCTGCCTTAGACATCTTTGTATATGTTTAAGGCAAAATCTACATAGATCATTGATCATAACACCATCATGAGTGGCGGGTAGCTGGGACTGTGCTCTGTTCAATATTAGACATTAGAGGGCAGTTTTGCTACTTTTATTGATGGCAGTGCGTTTTATTGTGAAGCTGTGCTCTCAGTGTTTTGCAGGATGCTGGATTTAAAGCAGACAATCAAAATGCCCGTTCACTAGCCAACATCCTCTGACTGCAGGATCAGAAATACAACTTAAAATTTCACTCATCGTGACATAATAGTAAGTCCTGCAGGCCCACGGTTCTGTGCTGTCCTAAAATGTGCTTTGACCTCAAGCTAAAGCTGCACTTTCAGATATGTGCCTTTGTTGCAGGTGCCATTTAAAAAGGTGTGCCTTGCAAGTTGTCTGAAATTGTCAGAAAAAGAACCACAAGTAAGTTGAACAGCTCCATTCATATGTGATAAAAGGGTATTGTTATTTACCCTGATAGATAAAGATAAAGAAAGTGTTAGGGGAGTCCTTTGAGAAACTTTAGCATTTCATTGTGTTGTAGCAGGATAAGTGGCTTGGAATCCATGGAAATGTTGCAGATATTACAATTATTCTGCAAAAACTCCATATTTTGGCTTAAATACAACAAAAACTAGAGCTTATTGTGTCAAAATGGTAAAGGAATCAAAGTCATTACACGAGTATATAACATATATTAATTCTAGATGATTATCTTGCAAAAGCAGGTTTCACTAAAAATCAATAAAATTCAAAATTCTAAGATTTTCACCACTTGTTTCCTGTGCTTGCTCTTGACATTCACTCCCTGCTTTTTGTTTTTGTTTTTGATGAATATATTCCCAAAATAAATAAGTAAACACATATATAAGTATATTCTCAAATTTGTGCTTAACAAACAACTCCAGGGTCTGAATCTAATTAAAGTGCTCATGTGAACGAGACAAAACATTTCTGCAAACAAAGAAAACAGCAGTGATCAAACGACAAAAAGCATAAGGCAGACGACACAGATGCTGCTCAGACACCAAACAAATGTCACTGATTCTGCCTCACTCCCTTTGTGGGGGCAGTCTCAGGTACTGGTGCTTTCACAGGGAGGGGCCACAGACAAAATAACACCACTGGTTCCTCTGCTGGCCAGCAGTGACATCCAGTGGCCAAATCCAGGTACTACCACTTATCTAAAACAATGTCACATTACATTTCCACTGTCTTTCAAGATTATACATCAAAAATGATTAAAAAAAAGGGCTTTGTTTTCACACTTTGGATAGCAAAGAAAGTGTAGCTTCTAGTGCTGATTGAATTATGTCGCCACAATAAGAGGAATGTACAAGACTTAAATCCAAATCTCATCCTGAGATGGAAGTGTGACTGGTAAACAAGAAGCATGGCAGTGAACCACATGTATTCGGTGTGTTGAAACAACACCGGTGAGGACTGTATGTAGGGCACGGGTGGATGTGCAGGTGGAGCAGACAAAGCAAGGTGTCCGCGCCACCGCTCCTCCTCCACATCGGATCAGAATCGGTTTCTATGGTGCATGTTGCCACGGCTTCCTGAGTAACGCTGCTCTATTTTTAAACAGGCAGGTATGCCAGGAGCTCTAATTCAGCTCTAATGCAGACAGCACACAGACATACAAACCTATATGTACTCCGAGCTCCCGTCCCTGTCTGCTTCCTTAAAGCAGAGGCTCATCCGCAATCCTAAACCGTTCGTTAAAAGTCACGCCACGCTCAACGAGGAGGAACGTTGTTGAAAAGACAAGTGTTAAGGCTCAGAGATGCTCTAAACATGGCAGGTGTCTGTGGTTCTGTGCTTGTAGAAATGACGAGGGGCTGAGGTAACCCCTCTTTCTTCTCTATTGCAGCGTGTACGCATGGTGGGGTCTCCGACTATTGCACAACATATATATACAGTGTTCGAATGTACATTAGAGGGGGAAATAGAGATAGAAGGAGATTTGTGATTCAATGAGCGCTGATATTATTGCTGATGCGTGATAGGCACAAAAAACTCCAAACTATAATGTGCTTGTAACATTACCAGAATCTCGCACTACATATGAATGTTTGACCACTTTTGTTTCCACATGAAAAGTTTCCTGATACTTATCAGATGAAGGATGGTGTGTTTTTTTTCTAAGTCTCCTTCAATCCTATTCCCATAGCAACAATCTTCTCCAGTGAACCAGCAGAAGCACAAACTGGTTCCTGAAAGCATTCTGAGTTCTGTACCATTCAAAGCATTGTAGCATTGCCCGCTGCTTAACCTCAGAGAGAGTTTGTATAGAGATGCACCCATCTGAATTTTATGGCTTTTTCCGCTCAGATTTTAGCCAATTCCCATTTCTGTTCAAGCACAAGATATTAGCAAGTAGTGGTGCTAGCATAAGAAAAACAGTCTTCCTCTTGTGGACGTTCTAGGGAATTTAAACTCTTGACTCTTAAATTTCCAGGCTGTCAGTTTTTCCACATGTGGCATTTTACAGGACAGACAGATATCAAAAGGTTGAAACAGAGAACCATTGCAGTAAGCTGTAAAGCTTTCCACGTCTTCTAGATAGAAAGTTGTAAAATTATTTTTAAATTCAGCTTAAATTTGTGTTTCTCCTCTTTATTTTTAACACCTCACTGATACTTAAATTGTAACTCATTTTTTTTGCTGATAAACTGTCTAAGTAGATCATTTAGGATTCCAGCTTTATGTTTCTGTGCAAATGTGACATTTTTGTGCATATTATTTCAGTTCTGTGTTATTTTGTCTAAAGCCACCTCAGTGCTGGCCCCTTTTGGTCAAACAGCTCTTAGGCAGTTGAATACTCCTCTTTGTTTAAAGCAGTATGGCTTTTCATCACACAATGTTTGGGTATAAAACCATCTCACTTGGACACACAGCCCCACCTGGTGGTGAGTTAGGAGTTGGAATAGCGTGGCAAGCTTTGATCGATAGAGTTACTCAGATTTGCGATTGTGTGATTTATTTGCGATGAAGACACGGGGTCGACTGGGTCTCCTCTGCTCTGACTACTGGTGACGGTGTACTGCAGAACGGTCTTTTGGTCTTTTGATAAAAAGTTGCTACAGGTGTCTGGAAAGTCACTAAACATAGTGACAAAGTTTATAAGTTAACAATAGTGCTTCTTTTGTCCTGACCACGACTAACCCCCTCTGCTCATGGCCACACTCGGCCGCACCTTTCTGTGTCTCTTGTCGCGGCCCACTTTGCCAGAATTTTTTTAAAAACTGTCAGGGGCGGGTTTATGCTAACCTTCTTCCCACAGTAACAACTTCCACACTGAGAAGTGTTGTCATGGCATTGTTCACTGAGCAAAAGAGCAGACTTGGTTTTCTGACTGCCATATCACGAGCCGTTTTCTGTGTGCTTCTCTATTTTTCTTTCTCTGGAGGTTAAGGTGTGAGGAATGCTGCAACTGAATTTTCTCCACCTTCTCCATCTCCCTCTCCTCTAGTTGAGAGGGCTTCATTTGTAAGCGGGAGGACGTTGGAGCTCATTAGATCATAGCTCAGACTCGGGCGAGCCAATGTTCTGGTATCCAGTCTTGGTGCTGGTGCCGTAGTTGGTGTTGGTCATCTCTTGGGTGCCACCGGGCCCAAGATAAGCGCGGTGGGCTGGCATGGGGGAGGGCGCCTCGCTGGGGTTCTTGCCCAGGATGAAGCGTTGCTCGTCCTGCTCCTCCAGGTTGGAGATATCCTTCATCATGCCCTTACGGTAGGAGACCGACAGCTTGTTGGAGCCGTCGGAGACCAAGTTGAAGTGGCGGGCGATGAAGACAATGGGCAGAGGCAGCATGGCGACCACAATGAGGGCGTAGGCCATGGCTAGAGCCCATGGAGGGTAGCTGTGGAAACGCTCTGAGCCCTAAAGGTAAAAGAGAAATGGTAAAATCAGATAAAACAGATTTTGGGTTAAAATCCATGCAAGTTTATGAAAATTATGTTTCGAGAAAACCCACAAAGATAGTCAAGTACAATTACTGGAACCCCTGGTAAACATGTGGACAAAAGCCTTAATTCATTAATATTAAGGAACCATCTTGGCTCCAAGATGCAACTCTTAGCTACACTTCTTTAACCAGCTGTCAACTTTGGAAAATATTTTACTTCCTTTACCGTGTTGCTAACTTATGCCCTCTATCAGCTAAATTTAACAAACATTTACAACAATAATATAGAAAAATGAAATTAAATTAATTCAATTGTTTTAGATGCAGTTAAAGATGGTCCAACTTGATGATAATTATAGTAAAATACATTCACAGCCGACCATTTCCATTAAACAGATCCTGAACTTAATGTTTTTCCCTCTGACTGTAGGAGTGATTGAGTTACAGCGACTGTTTTTATATCTCTTAAGAACTAAATGCAATAAAATAAAGGCGAACAAATAGGTTAGTGGATCTACGTAAGTCGACTGTTCATGCATGAGAAGGTTTGAAGTTTCTAAGCACTTTTACGCATCTTTGGAATGAATACCAAGAAGATGGTAGCAAAAATATTGACAAGAAAATTTTATATTGGAACACATCCAAATTAATTTAAACCAATTTGATAATATATATTTTTTTATTTTCCCTGTCTTTCACCTATATTCTGTGTAATAAAAAGTGGCAGGCCGGAGGATCTGACCTCTTCCTCCACCCATGCGTTGTATCCTGCAGGACTGACAGACATCTCTATGACGGTTGCAGCAATGAGCACCACCAGGATGGTGGGGGACACGTATCTCCACATGTAGTAGTAGAAGGTGTACGGTCTGAAACCCAGCATATCCTCCAGATCCTGCATGAATCTAAAAGTTCAAAACAAGAATCAAAACACGACAATTAGATTTTGGGGAAAATGTCCACTTGCAGTCACTTATTTTCTCACAACGCACACAGTTAAGCAGCGGCTTCTTGCCACGGTACCTCTTAGTGCCGTATATCCAGGCTACAGAGATGTTCTCCAGGATCACGACCACAGTGAGAGGCAAACCAGCGGAGTAGTCATCAAACATGGTGACAAAGTAGTTCCCTGAACGCTGCACGAACAGCAAGCCCAGCAGGAAGGCTATTATGCAGCAAACCACTAAGGAGGACACAAACAGGACAGAAACACGCCGTTAAAATCTGATCCCACTCTCCGACTCTGGAAAGCCAGAATGAGGACTCACCGCACAGGATCTCCTTCCGGATCTTGAAGGCGTCCAGTATGGGCGTGGTGATGCCGGTCATGGTTCCGATCATGCTTCCCAGACCCAAGTTGATCAGCATGAAGAAGAACATGACAGACCAGAAGGGGCTGGCGGGGAAATGTGTCATGGCCTCGGTGAAGGCGATGAAGGCCAGGCCGGTCCCCTGAACCGCCTGGAAGGGAGGAAGATGCTGGAGATGGTCACAGCTTTCAAAAATAACAACTGAGCTGCTGAAAAAAACCAAGAAAAGGTCTCAGCCACCGGTTCATTAATGATATCGTAACTGGAAACATTCACTGTGTGTAAAGTAACTGTGAATTTAAACGTCCTTAAAAACAGACCAAAAAACTGGAAGCAATGAAAAGAAAATACGTTCAAAAAGGTATTGTTGCTTTTACAGTCGTTTTTCCTTTACCCATTTTTTTTAATTTATCTACTCGTATGCTTTGAAGCTAAATTGTTTTTGGTGTGACCTTATTGAGTTCGTCCTCCAGGATGCAGGGGTCCAGACCCAGCTGGCCAAAGCTGTCCTCCTTCACCGTCTTGATGACTCCGTACATCTCTGAGTAATCCTGAGCTGTCAGGTGGGAAAAGTTGATGTGAGAAGGAATCAGCTCCCTACTCAGCACACCTGTGTTCAGGTAACCCAGAATCTTCTCTGCGTTCCTGGAGAGGAGGTAAAGATAGATGTGTTAATGGTGACTAAACAATGAAATCGTCTCCTGAAGAGTGACTCTATAAGACGTACTCACTCAACAACACACTTCTCGTTCATGACGTTGGCTTTGAAACCCAGCACAGCAAACACCACCAAAGTGGCCAAGATGGACGTGACAAAGTTGATGACGGAAACCAGAGCTGCGTCGAAGTGGCAGTTGTTGTCCCTCTTGTTGTAGCTGGAGAACGCGATGACGCCTCCGAAGCCCAGGCCGAGGGCGAAGAAGACCTGCGTCGCTGCTTCCCTCCACACCTGCGGCTCCAACATCTTCTCCAGCTGGCGAGAAGAGGAAGTGACAAGATTAAAGACCATGTTCACTCACCGTGACATAAATACAGCTCTGGACAGAAGCTCACTGTGGAGTTTGAGTTCTGTATGAATCCTGGGCTTGTGTCAATGTATTTAACTGTTCTTTTACCAGTAAGTTAAGAAAAAAATATGCATTTTCTCTGCAGATCACTCAGATTCATTTGACTAAAAAAAACAGGTGAGGTGTTTGTAGATTTATTTAAGGTTGAATCTTTAATTTTGCTTGTGTGGGGATTGGCGAAACCAATTACAATTCTCAATTTTTAAATCCCTGAAGGGTGGCTGTGTCCACATTTCAAACTGAAAAGACCCAAACTAATATGACATTCATGCAGATAAGTGGATGCGAATGAATCTTCTGTAACTTTTTATATTGAATTTTACATTATAGTTACTTTAATGATTTCTCTTGTTATTACCACATTAACTATAAGTAGTTTTAACCTGCAGAATGCATTAAAGAAATATCAAGAGACCAAATCTTATGCATTAGAAATATGTGAATAAATTTGCCTAAAGATCTGATTTGAGCATAATGTAACTTAACTTTCACTGTTCCAACCCATAAAGAGGTCACTGCATTTACAGTAAATTAAATGCATCTATTGCTGGGTTTTGCACCCAAGAAGGTTTGAGTGTGCTTTCAGTCCGATTAAATCAATCTCTCTCGATTGAAGTAAAATCAGGAAAGTGACCAGGCAGCTGCAGGTGATGATAATCTGTTTCTCAGATCTAAAGGGAGTGTAGCTGGAGTACCTCCATATGGTTCATCTGCATGCAAATAAATCATTTCCATTTCATTCTGATTTCGTACCTTGACAAATTACATGTTTGTGTGACTTAGAATAGTTTCCTTTACACATTTTTATATTTGGATTTTAACTCCGTGGTTAGAAATTTTGCTGAAATGTGGAATTAGTTTGAACCTTGTCATTGCGTTTACAAAAACCCAAAAAATTTTAAGGCACAAACACATACAAAAAAAAACCCTGTAAATACACAAAAAACATATTTGATCTTAAACTTCCACAGTCAGATCGTCATTGCTGCAAAATCTCTTTAAAAATGTCATTAAAATAATTTAGCTGCATTCTTTAAACTGTGTTTTCTGTTCCTCACCACTAGAGGGGGCCGCTGCTCCTTCTCACCTTCCTGAGTATTATTGACATTTTCATGAAATTAGATCTTAATGAGTGGTGCTTGAACTATGAGAGCCGCTGACGTAAACCGTACACTCAGCTTTGAGAGGAGAGGGTTTATTCTTTTTCTTTCACAGCACGCAGCAAAATTCTATGATTTTTTTTTATTTTTTATTTATTTTTTACTACTTTGACATCGAGTGTAATTAATGTAATGCTGCTTTGGTGTGGACAATGATCGCCTATTCTCTCTCACCTTGGGAGTGAACATGTGAGCGATGCCGTCTACCGAGCCCTTCAGCATCAAGCCTCGCACCAGGAAGCAGAAGAGCACCACGTACGGGAAGAGCGAGCTGAAGTACATCACCTAAAAGACGGAGAGAAAGTCAGCCGCATCACACACTGTTGCCATGGACACGCTTTTCTGAGACCTCACACGTAGAAGGAGAAGTGCAATCAAATCCACTTCCACACGCGCTCCCAGAGCTGCTCTGTGTTTGCTTTGAACCAAATCTGTGAGATGAGCCCATGAGGCTGAACTCCTTCCCCCTGCATCAGATGGAGTTCAGCCATCTGATGCAGGGCCGGCTAAAGAAATGTGTCAGACCCGAACTGGATATAGCTCAGTGATATGCTGCATGACTCATAATTTGGCTCCAGAGCAGAGCGTGTCGAAGCTACCGACTACACAGCTGAATCGGTTGTTCCTTGGTTCGGCTTAAGCTTATCAATGTTGCATGTCACTGGCTTCCATAATCTAGATGAGGTCCAAAAATAGATGCGTGTGGATGAGAGGTTTAGTATTTTACCTTTGCCCGGCAAGCAAAGTCAGAAAAGCCCTCATGGATATGGATAAATCAGTGATTAAAAACCCAAACGGAGAGCTCTGGCTGAAAGGATTTGTTATCTCGGTGTGTGAAGAAATAAATGAAATGAGAGAATGGGTGTGTGCAGGCTGCAGGTTCAGCCAGAAGAGCTGCCCACCTTCCCAGACGACTGGATGCCCTTCATGACGGCCAGGCAGACCAAGATCCAAGCCACCAGCAGGGACAGGGTCATCTTCCAGTTCAGGCCGCCGGTTTCGTCGATGGTGCTGGTGATGTTCAGAGTCTGGCGGTACCAGAAGTAGGTGGTGGCTGAGCTCTTCTCACATTCTGGCTCCACAACTAGATCAGCAGCAAGGAAAAGGAGACAGATTGACCTCTGGACGTCAACTGGGCCAGTTTAACATCCTAACCTAAACTATTCAGCTCAGTTCAGACGAGGTCAACGTTGGCTTCGTCAGACCAGAACAGTTTCTTCATGATGCTCTTTGTTAGGTGACTCCTTAAGGCAGCTGGACAGAGGTTTAATTAGGGAGTATCAGAGTAAAAAACCAAAATACAAATGCATGACGTTTCAGATATTAGGAGAGTAAGTAACATTTTAATCATTTTCCTTGCATATCACCCCCTTATGTGTAGCTTGTGCTGGTTTGTTACATAAGATCCCCCAAAAATACATTGAATTTTCCTGTCCTTAACATGGCAGACTGTGAAAGATTTAGGGATTATGAATAATTTTTGCGAGAGCAATCTAATTCCGATTCTAAATTAGATTCAGAGCTGACGCTGAGTTTCACAGTGTGAATAAGGAGTCTTGGCATCAGCTGCTGCCACCAGCTGGTGGCAGTGCGGACCCAATCAGCCGGGTCAAACCGGCTAACGAGCCTTCACAACAGAGCTGTCCGAACGGTGACCTGCAGAGCGGCCTCAGCCACTGCAACAGCTCAGACTCTCTCCTGTGGAGGCTGCTACAATGCAAAAATGTTCTGCAGCTTTAAGCACAGCAATGGTAGGTCTGTCTCTCTCTCTCTGTATCTGCTGAGTCTAACTGCAAAATAAGAAAAAGCTCTCAAGCACCCATTTCTGTTTCTTTTCCCTCTGCTTTTGCTGAGAGCCTCTCACGGTGAGGTGGGCGTTTGGATTTTGCATTGACAAACTCACTGGCTTGGGTTCCGTTCTTCCTGATGGGGCATTCGGCCCATGGCAGCGGATACTGAAACGACTGGAAGAAGTAGAAGATGCTCCAGCCGATAATGACATTGTAATAGAGGCCAACAAAGCCGCAGACCTGCAGAGACAACAGAAAGGCTCGTTCGTTTAACGGTACACAGCGTGTCGAGGTGAGGCAGGGCACAGAGGCACACACAGCAGCAGCACAGAGCAGCTTGAGACGCGTATGAATTATTGAGCTGTTTGCTCTCTCCACCAAGGCTGTGGTCCTCAAAGAGGCGGTATTTATAGACGCTGGAGGTCCCTCTGCCACATCTGAGCTGCCACACGCCTCGCTGCCCTCGGCCGCCACGGCTCCGCGTCCCCTCGTTCGCATTAGGCTGATGAAATTCGTGTCGGGACGACTGGCACGCAGAGAGGAGCCGCTGACGGAGCGACTCGGGTGCCGACAGGTTGTTTTAAGCTGCTGATGATAATGTGATGTGGACACGATGGGTCAGTACTCCTGATGATGAGGAGGACAGACCGAGGCACAGATCAGATGTGGAGGTTTTCTTAAAGCAACTAGAGGTCATATGGCTCAGAGGGAAATGTTGTACAGCAGAATTGATGACTCTCTGTTGTTTAAACAAAAAAGAAAAGGGATGTCTTTATAATACGAGGATTTTTAGGTGATCATTAATAGGGCCGTAAAATTTATTTTGCTGATTAAATTTAAATATTCACATCCATAAAAAAAAAAAGAATACAGACTAATGTAAGTAGTATTTACTCAAGTAGGTTTTGGGGGAAAATAGATCTCTGGTGTAAATGTACTGCCTCGGTTTTCCTGCCTCACAAAAATAAATAAATATAATTAAATACACTGCTCAAAAAATAAAGGGAACACTCAAATAACACATCCTAGATCTGAATGAATGAAATATTCTCACTGAATACTTTGTTCTGTACAAAGTTGAATGTGCTGACAACAAAATCACACAAAAATCATCAATGGAAATCAAATTTATTAACCAATGGAGGCCTGGATTTGGAGCCACACACAAAATTAAAGTGAAATGTTCCCTTTATTTTTTTGAGCAGTATATAATTGTCACTAAACCCACATTTTTGTATTTTTATTAGTTTAATGCAATATTCTCATTTTAAATATAAGTGGAACATTTTTAGTTTTAACAGAAACAAAGGCTTTCAAACATCCATCTGTGAGTAATTAACCTCTATAGATCGGGTTTCACTGAGTGACAAAGTTGCTGAAATAAACGGGCTTTTAATATTCTGATTCACTGAATGGGTCTGCGAATATCAGCCACCGTGAGTTTTGTTTTCAAAGGTTTTATGTTGTGAAAAAAATTTGATTTCATTATTTTGTAATAATGTTCATTTATACTCCTTTTCTTTTGCCTGCCGCAGAACGCCCCGGTCCGATCCAACCTGGGTTAACGTGAACTGACACGATAAACTCACCATGAGGCTGGAAACGCCGATGCCCCCCAGCTGAGGGTAAACGTAGTTCCACACCCCGATGCTGCCGCGCCTGATCCGCTGACCGACTGCCAACTCCAGGAAAAACAAGGGGATGCCGATGAGGAGGAGAAGGATGAAGTAGGGCACTAGGTACGCACCTGACAGAGAGCGGACGGGGGGAGGAAGCATGACAGAAGCAGTTTGTTCAGATTTATTTATATCAAGGTTCCAATGTGGTGAAATATGAAGCCTCTTCTAAAAGCAGCAGAGGAAACAATGTCTCGTCTCTCCTCTCCCTTTTATTTGCTCTAATATTTGCTTCTCTCCTGTCCTCTTTCAGTTCAGCCTCCTCTCAACATTTCACCATGACCCTCTTTTTCACAGAAGGGGAAAAAAACAAACCAAAAGGAAAGCACAGACGGCCACCGCAGACAGAAAGTCACATCCAGTCCTGCTTTCGTCAAGAAATGAAGAGGAGCCATGGCGACAGAAGCATCTGAAGCCAGAGACGTGGTTCACAGTGAGAAGGACTTCATTCATGTTTTACCTGATTCTAACAACAGGATCAGCCTGATGGAGAGAGAGCAGGAACCAAACCAAACAATGAAACGTGGCATGACAGCCGCGTCTTTAATACAGACTCTTTTTCCATATCTCTACTGGACAGATGCAGGTTAATATGTGTCATTGAAAAGATAAACTACAAAGATCTTCTTACTGAAATAACTTATTAGTGTCAAATCCATATATAAATTAAATCACTTCAGGTAAGATACTAATGCTAGATATTGGTTGAACACATAAAAATAGAGTTTTGCTGTTTTGATCTCCTTTCAGGCAACTTTTTATTCCACTACTGAATATTTTTGACTTCGATTTGCACAAATTTAAGCAATCAAAGGCTTCATTTTCTTCACTTCAAAGCTGCACAATATTCTCAGCGCAATACCGTAAAGACTAATTACGTTTCGGCTGCATTATTACTGACATTCAAAGTAAATCTGTGCTCTGAATGCCCATTATATGCTTCGTCCAATGAATGGACTCATTTCTGCTACTTAAGTTCATTTTTAGCATCTATGACACTGAAACGTCTGGAGAGTTTGCAGGCACTGTGTGACATCAAAATACAAAAGTAAGCAAAACGTGGGTTAATCTTACTGGTTACTGGTTTTACACGTTACCATAGAAATCCACCTGCTAAAAGTTGCTCGCAGTGTCATACTTTGTGGTCTGGCACAACTCAATGCAGCTGAAGTGCGATATTTTACTGGCGAAGTACGGAGAGGAGGAGAATCTGACAATGACTGACTAAATGGAGGGGTTTAAACACAGAGGAGGAGGATTAGTGGAGTGAAATGTGTGAGTAATTGTGCTGATGCGTAACAGCTGTGAGAGAACATGAACCAGGGCTGAAGTGACAGAAAACTGACACGGAGAACATTATCTGAAAAGAAAATAACTCAACACAAACACAAAGAGCCTAATGTAACATAAATCCCAGGTGTAGAATCAGAACACTGACGTGAGGTTACAGAGGGATGAAAAACTCAAAATCTTGCTTTGGATTGGTCAGAGTTAGACTCGTGTTTTAAGAGTTGCCTGGTCCAACCAAGGATCGGGATCACAAGAAATGGAAATAGAGTGAAATATAAAGCCTTTAGAAAAACATGCAGTTTTATCAGATTTTCTGTGAGATTTGATCCCCTGTTGTTTCCATTAAAATGTATTAAAGCTCAACTATCAGGAGAAATAACACCAGCAGAGGAGCCAAATCGAAACAGAGATCTGGGTAAAACTGACCTTTTTCCATCTGTTAACATTTCATCAAAACCTCTTTGCATTTCATCCCTGTAAGGAAACCATTTTGTCTGCCGCTGATGAACTACTACATATCCTAGTTTAAGATAAGACAGGGTGAGATGACACATTATTGCCTGCTGCTTGCACAGACAGTTTTCTTGCAACGTCATCCTGGCAGCCATAACAGAGACAGAGTCAAAATAACAGCCGCAGGGAATCAATCAAATCTAAAAACCCACAAAATGGATCAGATAAAAATGGAAAATGACATGAAATGTCCAAAACTTCCATAAATCAGTAGTCTTTGTTGTAAGATTAGTTTGCTTGGTTGGTTTCTTATGATTTTCTTTGCAGGAAAGTGTTATTTTGCCACATCATTTATACTGTATTTAATTAAAATACTGTATTTACTGTATTTAATACAGTAAATACAGAAATACTGTATTTAATTAAAATATAAAAATGACGCACAGAGGAGCATCCGCAAAAACAATGTTCTATTACAAATCAAGTTTTAACATATTTGACATATTTTTGGTGAAAATAAGCTGCCTTGCTGAATGGTAAAGTACTTTTAAAAGTACTTAATATATATACTAATATTAATTTCTGCCATAAAGTTAAATTGAGCGTCGACTACAAACAGGGATCAGAGAATCGCCAAACAGCACAAAGTGTTTTCTTTATCCAACCAAGGAGGACAATAAAGCTCCATCAACTGATTCATCCTTTAGATTGGGTTACGCTTAAATCTGCACAGAAATACATTCAACGGCTCAAATCTGCACACATTAGGCTCTGAAACACATTTCATGCAAACCCTTCACAACCCACACAGGAGATCAACAATGTCTAAAAGCCTGGAGCACTCGTATTTATTCTTGAACTTCCTTCTTAGTCATCATCCACCTTCTCATTTCATTATAATAATAGTAAATCAAGCTGCCAAACACAAGATGCTGAGAGCTTTAGGAACAATAACAGACTGAGGCTTTTTCAGCTAAAATCTCTCTGCTTCCTCTCCTCAGTGATGACTGAACGCCTAATCCCACCGCTGCTGAGGGTGCATGTTGACTAATTCAGACAAATGCTGCAGAGCCTGCAGCTCTGACTTGGTAAGAGAGGTTTGCTCTCTGTGAGTCAGGTGTGATTTCAAACACACAAACAGCCAAAAGGGTTCCTGTCGACTTTGGAGCAAATTCTATTTGAATCGCATTAAAGCGAATTCATTCAGTCTCTTCCAGGCCTCAGTCTTAAGCAAACTACCAACTGGACACCTGAACTGAGGGACTGGGAAGTCTGCTTCTGTGGGAAACTAAACCAGCATCACGCTATGCGATCTGCAGCAAACGCATCGATCTCCAAGTGGAGGCTTCAAACGTAAATATGTTTAATTGTAAAGTTGTGAATACTGTAAAATTACAACCTTCAACCCAGTCAGTTTTAACAACTGCACGACTTCAAAGCTCCACAGACGCCATGCACAGAAAGAAATGCAATAAAATTGATTTTTGATCGATTTTTAGCTGATTAGACTTCTTTTAAAATTCACCGGTCATCATTAAGCTCATATAGATATCTTCCATTTCATGTTTTTGATGGATTTGACACTCTTTTCATATTTGATAAGTTATTTACATCCAAGCATTTTTATTTAGTTATTATTTTGTAGAAATGAATTTTCACTTTGACAATTGTTTATTTTTATCATTTCTTTTGTCAATAAAGGTCAATTTTTTTTTTGATAATGAGTGATTTGTAAGAGCTATAAGAGGCTAACACATGCAGGTTTTTCCAGGTACACATAAAATGTTATTGGATATTATTAACTATTTTAATACTCATTACTATAACAGAAATAACTCCAGTTGAAGATCCAGTTTCTTCGGTTTCTTTCAAAGACATTCATTTTGATAATCACCAGGTTTGCTTATGTATGGTGACATCCTAACAAAAACGGCGCCTCTAAATCATGAATTAATTGTGATTAAACACATTTTTGGTTCAGTTTCATCAGCCACAAAAAGAAGAATTCAAGCCCATCTGCTGAAAAAAATTTTTTTTATATATATATAAAATATGGTAATGGCGAACCAACCGGACATTGTGGTGGTGGATAAAGAACAGAGGAAAGCCGTTGTGGTGGATGTAGCAATACCAAGTGACCACAACATCAGGAAAAAGGAGCATGAGAAACTGGAGAAATACCAGGGCCTCAGAGAGGAACTGGAGAAGGCCTGGATATATATAGAAGGCCTCTCTTCTATATATAGAAGAGAGGCCT